TTTATCATGGGAACTGATAGCCGTCAGGCAGAGAGAAAGAATGTTCATGTATTTACTCAGATTTCATTGGTTGAAATAACCAGAAGTTGTTTTGCACTCTGCTGCTTTCTTATCTACCTGTGCCTATGTGTCTAAAGGTGATGTGGTGCAATCTCTGCTGTTTTAACAGTCTTTCAGATCTGCAGGTGTACCAGGTAACTATTAGAAGAGGTTGTGACCTCTTCAAAAGCTTTTAAAGAACTTCTTACAATGCTTCAAGAAACAACATCATAGAATGAAGGCGTTTATCTCCTTTATCTGCATAAAATCAAGTACTGTTCAGAACAATGTAATTCTGTTATTGTTGCTTGGGTTTGTTTTGAATCTGCTATTAAAGGTGCACTTTATACTTGGGAAATACCTTTTGCTTATGTTGAAGCAAAAATTGTACTTAATGTTAAGTTCTGAGACAGAACATTTCTTTTTCTCAAACATGTTAATCTGAGCCTCTCTGGACTAAGAATAAATTTATAAACAATGATTTTGCTATTCTTTTAAGGAGTTGCAGTGTGTGAGCTTTATTAAAAAAGGTCTTACAGCCAAATGCATTTCTAAAGGACAAACACTGCTCTGTGGAAGCACAGATCTTCTAGCTTGAGGAGATGATTTCTTAATTTATGTTTATTCAAGTGCGGGGTGAATGGTAACTGCAGGGGAGCCAGCTCAGCTGTAAAGGACCATGGGGGAGGGAAGCTCACAGGGGTGGTGCTGGGATGGAGGATCCAACCTTGCCTTGTGGTGAAACTGCAGCCACGTGGCCCTTGCCATGCCTGTCAGGCAGGCCTCTGACTTCAGCTTCCTTAAGTGTCCGTGTTGGCTTCAGGTGCTGCTTGAACTGTTGTGTAGGGGAAAAAGGAGAAGTGGAGTCATGCTTGACCAACCTGATCACCTTCCGTGGTGAAATGACTGGCCTGGTAGCTGAGGGGAGAACAGTGGCTATTGTCTGCCTGTTGAGGGATGGTCTGGATGAGCAGTGGGCTGGGTTGAAAACTGGCTGAGGGGCTGAGCCCAGGGGGTGGCTGATCAGTGGCACAAACACTGATTGGAGGCCAGTAACTAGTCGCTTAACTCGGGGGTCAGTGCTGGGTCCGGTCCCAGCAGTCTTTATTACTGATGTGGGTGATGGGACAAGGTCCCCCCTCAGCAAGCGTGCAGATGACACCAAAGGGGTCGAGCTGGCTGATGCACCAGAGGGTCGGGCTGCCATCCACCGGGACCTCGCTGGGCTGGAGAAGTGGAGTGACTGGAACAGCACGGAGTTCAACAAGGGGAGGCGCAGAGTCCTGCCTCCGGGGAGGGTCAACCTCCTGCACCAGTGTGTGCTGGGGCTCAACCACCTGGGAAGCCACTTGGCTGAAAAGGATCCCAGGGCTCCTGACAGACACACGAGTTGGCTGAGCCAACGTTGTGCTCTTGCAGAGAAGTAGGTTAACGGTGTCTTGGGCTGCCGCAGGCGAAGTATTGACAACAGGTAGAGGATCCCTCCCCTCTGCCCAGCACTGGTGAGGCCACCCTGGAGTGCTGGGTCCAGTGCTGGGCTCCCAGTACAAGAGAGATGGGGACGTACTGGAGAGAGTCCAGAGAAGAGCCGTGAAGGTGATGAAGGGATGGGAGCATCTGCTGTGAGGGGAAGCTGAGAGCTGGGACTGCTCAGCCTGGAGCAGGGCAGGCTCGGGGGCATCTCACCAGTGTGGAGAGATACCTGGAGGGAGGGTGCAGAGAGGACGGAGCCAGGGGCTTCTCAGTGGTGCCCGGGGACAGGACCAGAGGCCACAGGCACAAACTGGCATGCAGGAGGGTCCCTCTGAACATCAGGAAACACTTTTCCACTGTGAGGGTGACCAAGCACTGGTACAAGTTGTCCAGGGACATTGTGGAATCTCCATCCGTGGAGATACTCGAAAGGTGTCTGGACGTGGTTTTGGGCAGCTGGCTCTGGGTGACCCTGATGGAGCAGGGGGATTGAACCAGATGATCACCAGAGGGCCCTGACAACCTCAACCATTCTGTGATCCTACCCCAGCACTGCTGGCAGAAACGTGAAATGGGCCTGAAGTCACAGGACGTGCTGGCGAGGGGTGAGGCGGTGCTGAGGGGCCAGTACAGAGGAATGGTTCCCAGTGGCTTCCTGGGCAGGCAAGCTTTACCAGAACCTTTCCCTGGTCTGTTTGGTGATGGCTTGCACCTCCGGTGCCTTCTCTGCTGCTGCCACTATTTGCTGCAGCGATGGTTTCTACAGAGCTTCTACAGGGAAGTTGCTCCTCCGTCTTCTCCCTGAGCTGAAGGTGGGGACTACAGGCTGCCAGCCCTGGGTGTGGGGTGGTCTCATGAATTTGGTGGCTCTGCTATGTGCCCCCCAGCTACTCTTGCAGGCTCTCAGCACCAGGCATTGCACCTCAAAAAGGGGCCTTGGTGAGGAGGACAGGTGGGCACCGTATGGTGTGTGGAGGTCCCCAGGGGGATGGTGCCAGCAGCTGGTTTCCCTGGGGAGTGTTGGGCGGCACCAGTGCACAGGGTGCCCTGAACAGCCGCGGTGGGTGTGCGGTGCAGTGGGGTCCCAGCAGGCGCCTGGGAGTGTCCAGGAGCCCCGTAGAATGGTACAGGGATGGAGCTGTCTTCTTCCCTGGTCAGGGGAGCTGTAAACGACCCAGTGAGCCAGACCTCACAGTCATGGGATAAAGGAGGTGATGTGCACAGACCCGATCGGTGGCACTCCTTGTGACGGGTACGAAGAGCAGGAGAATGTTCATTTTTCCAGCTGGGAGGATACAGAAAGGGAGGAAGACAAGCCTCCTCAGTCCCACTAACTAATAGGTTCTCAAGAAACCACATGCAACCAGGACTTCACAGTTGGTTGGGGTGTAAACCTGTGGGTCTGGGACATTGGAGGCGGTTGGTGGGACTCTACAAGCAGGGAAGGAGGGAGGAATGAAGAAACAGTAGGCAGAAAAGAGGTATAAAGAGTTGCATGTAAAATGGAGCCTATCCGTGCATTGTCTGCCTAAGCCCCACACCTGATCCATCTTGTCTTCTGTATGTCCTGTCATTGTCTTAACCCCTTCTTAACTGTTTCTCCACTAATCTCACGTAGCCTGTGTGGCTGTGTGCTGCAAGGACTAGGTGCCACTGCTGGAGAGGCTGGCATGGGTGGGCTTGGGGGCAGCAAGTGGAGTCAGACCAGGGCTGTAGGCACCCCCGGCCTGTGATGCCAGCTGCTGGGGGGTGTGAGTGTCTGTGTCAGCCCCAGACTGCATGTCCATGGGGCAGGTATGTGTCATTCACAGGCAAACTTCAAGTTGCACAATCTGGCACATATGGGACTCTGGTGGGGCTAAGAGGGCTGGGATGTAGGCAGGGGGCTGCGCAGGTTGAGGCAGTTGTGTCCCTTGGGTAAATGCTGGGCTCCGGCAGCTGGGCGGGAGAGTTCTGGGCTGGAGGAGGTGGCAGCTCCTGACACCCTTCAGCACCCATCAGGGGCTCCCCTGGCCTGGCTGCCCAGCAGTGCCACTGCGGGTGCCCTGTCCGGAGCAATTGCTGCCTTGGAGAGGGGAGCAGGGAGCATCTTCTGAGGGGGAAGCAAGTGGGAAGCAGGAAGACAGGGTTAACTCTTGCAATGGAGGGTCATTCTAGGTCTGCTCACCAGCTCAGTAAATGACTTTAGAAAGTGAGTAGTCAAATAGCATGAGGAGAGAGAAGCCAGACATGGAGCATCTGGTGAGGTTCAACATAGGTACGTGTAGGGTGGGGTGTTTGTGTGTAAAGTAATGCAACTTGGGGCTTGATGGGATCCAGGCTTCACAAAATTGCAGGTTTAGGGTAGGAGCTGACAACGAGTGAGGTCATGGGCTGATCCTTCAGTTCAGTGCCCAGCCATGGTCTCAAAATCAAATGTGGCTGAACCAGGCAGACCACTGTTCTCCTGTGCAAACCCCTGGGCCATCCCTGCCTTGAATCCCACCTGTGGGGCTGGTCCTGCTGCTTGGACAGCGATGGCAGGGTGGCAGAGGAGGAGGAGAACTGTCCCGGTGTCCGGAATTGAGAGCCCAGGCTGTGTCAGCCAGGCAAGAGGCAGCAGGTTGTGGAGCTCAGGTGGGAAGGGGCCCGGGGAGGGCTCTTATCCCCTCCCTGTTGGGAGCAGGTCAGGATGAGATGCCCAGCATAGCCTGGACAGCCCCGAGGAGGAAGCCCTGGTCCTCAGGAGGTGACAGGTTGGACAGAGAGTATGGGCTCTGCCAGAGTAGGGACAGGTCCCCACAGTCCCCCCAGAGCAGCACCCTGGGCCGACCCCCAAGGCTTGCTGTGGGAACGTAGCCCTGGGCTGGGACAGGGCACGGCCAGCGCTCTCAGGGCTCTCAGTCTGATCACCGCCACTTGCTTTGCACGACTTCACAGCACCATTTGTTGCTTCCATGGCAAGGACAAGGCTGGGAGAACAGCACTGCTGGTTTATTGATGAGTGGTCACCATATTGCCTGCCAGACTCAGCAGCGCTATCCCCGGGGGCCATGGCCGGTGGGGCAGGGGCTGCCTGGGCTCGCTCAGTCCTGCTGGCACCATGCTGCTCTCGAAGACTGCTCCTGAATCCGGGAGCCCTGCGGCGCTTCCACCCTGCCCCCGGGGTGCCTCTGCATCATCCTGGCCAGGCAGCGTGCTTGGTGCCATGGTGGGGGGTGGTCCTGCAGCCACCCAGGAGCCCTGGCGTGGTGGCAGCAGCACTGCAGGAGGGGAGCTGAGACCCCACTGCAGCCTGTCCCAGTCACGCTGTCCCCACCAGTTGTTGGCACATGAAATGGAGATGTTGGTGGGGACAGGGTGGAGGGAGGCAGGGATGAGGCCGTGCACCATCCCGGCAGGCTCAGCAGGTGCTGGCAGGGAACCGCTGCACATGAGACACAGGTCCCAAAGCATTCCTTCCCCCCCCCCCGCCATGCCATCTTTCTCCCCAGGTGTGAGTGGTGGGGTCAGGCTCGGCCCCACTCTTCCAGGTCCCGGATACAGACCTCCCATGGCAAGCATGTCTTGTCAGAGGTCTCACATGGGTGGCTGCCCGCATGGTTCAGGTCTCCAGCCAGCCACAGCCCAAATCTATCGCTGGGAAGGTGCCAATGGCAGAGTCAGCTGAAGGTGCCCTCTCCTGCCTCCTCTATGCCTGGAGACCTCCCCAGCCACCTCCTGGGAGACAAGCCACCTCTCCATCCCCACTTCTGGGTGCCTTTGTGCTGAGGATGCCAGACACAAGGGACTGGAAAAACAGGGACAAGAGAGGACAAGCACCCATCCCCGGGGCTGCCACCCTGCCTGGAGGCAGGGAGCAGGCAGGACTGCCCGCAGCAGGGTCAGGGGGATTAACGGGCTGGTGCTGCAGGACAACCTTCACTGGTATTTTTGGATTCCAACCACCAGTGTGTGCCTGGAACCAGCTCCGCAGGGCAGCCTGGGCTCAGATCATGGACCCTGTGGCCGTTGGGGCTGGGGACCCTGTGGGCCACCAAAGCAGCCGGCACGGCTCCTGCCTGCCCCCACCGATCACCAGCTGGTCCACATCCTCTTTCACGAAGTTGTTCCTTCCCGTCCACCTGAACACCTGCATGGGAACAGCAGTCAGCCAGGACTGTGGGCTGGGGCATAGCGTTCCTGTCCCCGTCCTTGTCCCTGTCCTGTGAGGGACACCCGGGGGCTGCTGAGCAGAGCTGGCTGTGCCGATCCCCGCCTTGTCCTGCTTCTCCAGAGGAAGACCTGGATGAGCAGGTGGGCACTGTCCTGGTGCTGGCCCATCCCAGCCAGCAGTCCTGGGGCCACCCCAGAGGAGTACAGCTGCCACCCACTGATGCCACCAGCAGTGTCACTCACTGATGCCACCCACCTCATCTCACACACATGGACTCCCACTGGCACAGGCAGCCGTGGCTGAGCTGCCTCCATGTCCTGCTGATGCTGGGCTGAGACCACCCTGGCATGCAGAGGGTCCCCAGTGCCGCCTGCCTGGGCAGGGTTCCCTTCCCTGATTCCCCCTCCCTGCACAGCTGGATGGGATTTGCATTATCCCCCCCAGCCCTGGACAAACCTGGGGGACTACAGCCAGCAGGGTCCCCCACCTGATTCACCCATGTCCAGCCAAGTGCAGTCTTGTCACCACAGACCCACACCCAGCACCTTGGGGGGGACCACCCCCCCCCCCAGCATGGCTGGATCCCAGGGTCATTGCCAGACCCCCCCACCCTGGGGTGCCTCATGGCCGTCAGCCTGCAGCCCCCACCTTCAGATCTGGGGAGAAAGAGAAGAAGAAGCTCTCCCTTGTCCCGTAGAAGCCATTGCTGTGGTGCTGGCAGAGAAGGCACCGAAGGCCTGAGGGGAACAGAGAGGGGGAGTCCTAGGCTGTGGTGCTTGGCGGGGCTCCCCAGTGCCAGAATGCTTCCCCCCCCATCCTGTCAGCAGCAGCGGGGACGTGGCCAGGCCCTGGGTGAAGCGGGGTTTGCTGCCCCCAGTGCCATGGGGCTGCTGGTCTGGGAAGGGCCCGGCCACACCTGAGCTTCCATTTCCCTGCTGAGCAGCGGGGGGGGGAGCCTGGGTGGCCTGCGCATGGTTACAGGGTCTGCCGGCAGAAGCCATCCTGCCTGGTGCAGTACAGCAGGTGCCAGGGCTGCTGCAGCGGCCAGAGGGCAGGTGGGGGCCCAGCTGGGGCTGAGTGGACTGAGATGCAGCTTTTGAGCATCCTCCCCACCTGCCCCAAGCAGCCCTCTCTCCCCACCTGCCCCAAGCATCCTCCCAAGAGGTCTCCCCAAGCATCCTCCTGTCCCCCTCGCTTCCAAGCATCCTCTCAAGAGATCTCCCCAAGCACCCTTCCCCTCCAAGTGTCATCTCAAGAGCATCCTCCCACCTGAGCAGCCTCTCAAAAGCTGTCCCCAAGCATCCTCCCCCTAAGCATGCTTCCAAGGGGTCTCCCCAAGCTCCTGGCCCATGCAGCAGCCTCTCAGGATGCTTCCCTCAAGCATCCTCACCCAGAGAACCCTTCTGAGATGTCTCCCTGGGCATCCTCCCCCGGCAGCCCCAAGAGGCACTGCTGAGGTGGCTGTCCCCAGGGACAGGGGGGATGTCACCCACCTGGCCTCACGCTGGACCAGTTCCTGGGAGGACAGAGGCCATGGCTGCATGGTGCAGGGGGAGGTGAGCAGGAGGGTGGGGTCCCCATGCTGGCAGGAGGGTCCCTCATCTCCTGGCTCTCCCTGTCCCGCAGAACACTGCTCGCTGTGCTCAGCAGCAGCCTGCACAGCTCTTTCAGGGCCAGGGCCACTGCTGGAGCTCCCTCCCAGCCTTGTTTCCTCTCTATGACCAGCTCCCCACATCTCAGGGACAGTTCCTTGTCCTGGTTGGGCTGGGACAGGTGGAGGTGAGCATCCCTGTGGTCCCCAAGGGAGCACCATCCCCAAACCCGTCCTGCATGGGTGATCTCCCATCCTGTGTCCAGGGCACTGGGAAAAGGGGCACAAAGGCTGCAGGGATGGGCACTTGGTTGAGCCCCCAGCCCGGTTCCCAGCTGCCCACTGCTCCCAACAGCCCTGCCAGGCCATGCCACTGGTGCACAAGAAAGTTCAAGAGTGTAAGGCCACCCGAGGAGATGAAGAGGAGGGAGAGAAAGAGGAGGCAGGGGAGGCTTCCACAACTTCAGCCCAACCTCAGCTCCAGAAGAAGGGGCAAAGCTTGGCCACCCCCTCCCTTTGCCCATGGCCAGGCTGGTCCCCCATTGCACATGGGGTCAGGGACGTGCCTTGGTCCCAGTGGCAGCTGGTAACAAATGTCTCAGCCAGCCGTGCCCCCAGGGCGGCTGTGGGTGCAGCCCCTGCCCGAGGGTGGGTGGGCAGTGGTTCCCTGCCTCCGGGGAGGCATGGGTGGAAAACACCCAGAGGGGACAAGATGGATGAGCCACAGGCACCAGATCTCCTGCCCCCACGGTGCTTGGATCCTTGGGGGGCAGTGGGACTAAAGGCACGGGTCCCAACCGTACCCATCACCCTCCACACCCCCAGCCCCTTGCTCTCCCCAGGGTGGCCTTGGCTGGCTGGCTGGCCACGCGTCCAGCCTGGCTGGTGCCTCCCAGCACTGCCCTGGAGCTCCGTCCCAGTGTCCCTGCTGCCATGTGGACCTTCCAGCAGTTGGTAGCAGGCACGAAGCCCCCTCATCGCGGGGCTGTGGGTGCTGCTGCAGTGCTGGGAGCTGCGCTGCCGGGGAGCCCTCGGCACCGCCCCGGGTTCGTGTTCATCCGCACTGGTCCCTCCCCGGCCACCCGGCTTGTGGCACGGGTGGGTGGATGCCAACAGCCTGCCTTGGCTCATGGGGGTCCAGGATGTGCCCCCCTGCAGGGCTGTTGCAGTTACCTTAATAAAATAGCTTGAATCCTAGACTATTCTTTTGATTTTAATTTAGAATATGATTTTGATTTTAAAATGCAGTTACAGCAGCTATGAGAATAGAAAGTACACAAAGGCCCTTAGGATTAAGCAACTAGTATGCTGTGTGCCTTGAACACTATAAGAATCGTTATGGACTCTGAATTAAAACAATGGGTACTAGTTACGGACCTGGAGTCAAAACAATAGGTACCAGAAGAGATTTGGTTTGGAAGATCAGCCAAAGTTGAAATGAGCATGTGCAAGGATGGAGTTCAATCAGCCGACACGGAGAGGAAGACTATCCACGACCACCAGAGGATGCCTGCTCATTCGTCTATGCGCCCATGTGTTAGAGGCATTTGCATATGATAATGAATTCCAGGAAATAACATGAATATGCTAATCATTACCTTCCCCCCATTCTATTCAAATCAATCAGTAAAGATGACCAGTGATTTCTGTAGAATAGGAATACGGGTAAGGTGAGGTAACTGAGAGCCAATCATTATAAAGGTCAAATTAAACTTTATGAATTTTGTTGATCTTATGTAACCATGGCTCTGCTGAAAAAGTGTATAAATATGTTGTGCTTTGTACCTGTTGGTGAACACGTCTTTGGTGGAGCTCTCCCCCGTGTTCCTCAGCTCTGGAATAAAGGAGTGCCTGCTTACCTGCTGTGTGTAGATGAGTTCTACCTGCGATTGCGACCCCTAACAGAGCCAGGTCCTGCGTGGTGCTGAGGCAGGCCGGCAGGATTACCCTCCAGCCAGGCACTGGGTGGCCGGTGGCTGTTACCTCCTTTGCACCCTGGCTGCTGCCTGGGCCAGGACCTGGAGCACCCAGGGGGGACCCCTGAGGCCACAGCTGAGCCTCTGTTTTGGGATAAAGGGCAGGTCACGTCTGTGTTGCTCTTTGCAACACAGCTGTTGCAATGGCTGTAGCAAAGGCCAACATCTGCCTGGTGGACGTGGTGTCCCTCCCACTGGGAGAGCCAGGCTGGGTTAACGTCCCGCAGGCGGGTGAGCTGGGGTCTCTGGGAGCACCACCAAAATCGGGAATGAAAACACCTTAACGCTGGGTTTAGCATTAATGAGCAGGCATTGCTTTATTCAGCCAGGGACACTAGGGAATCATTCCACCTCACATGTCCACTGTATGTTACAATAGACAAAGTTTATATCACTGTTACATACATATTCATCGAATTTCCTAAAACATGTTATCATATTTACATAGTTACTACGCATGTGGTTTGGGTCTCTGAGGGGATTCCATGTGGGTTGTAGGTGGTCTCTAGTGGTCTCTGGTGGTCTTTGGAGAGGAGCCTGTCTTGAACTTTGTCTGCACTTTTGAATTTTTCTTCTTTATATGGTAAGGACTTGCCCTTTCTTTGGTTTATGCCTGCACTTTCTTATCTCCTGCCTAGCTTCAGCTAGTTCGTTATTTTTCAGAGGGCCTTAATCCTCAAGGATGGGGGCTTATGATTAGATGTCTTTCAATTTACACATGGAGCCTCTCAATTTACACATTTTCCAGGAGGTGGGTAGCACGCTTGCCTAGCTCAAGGACCTTTATGCAACAGACAAAATGTTGCATGTTTGACTGATTGCTTAAGTTCTTGTGCTACCCTAAACAATACTTTTGTCCTTCACGCATTTTCCAACAGGAGGGCTGGGGCTCGTTGGCGCTTGTGCTGGGTTTGGATGTGTGTCAGGGTTTTGGTTGCAGGGGCAGGGGCTACAGCAGTGGCCTCTGTGAGCAGCTTCTCAAAAGCTCCCTTGGCTCCAAGTTGGACCCATGTCTGGCCAAGAGTGAGCCAATTAGCAACGGTGGCTGTGCCTCCATGATAACGTATTTAAGAAGGGGAACCTGAGAGAAGGAGTAGGAGTTGGGAGTTGTGAGGAAGAGTTGAAAGGAGCGATGTGAACACCGAGGTCAGTGGAAGAAATGAGGAGGAAGGGGGGGAGGGTGCGCTGGTGCAGATATGGTGGAGCAGATGCCAACCTGCAGCCTGTGGAGGAGCTCACACTGGAGCAGGTGACTAAACCCGAAGAAGGCCAGGATTCTGTGGGAAGATGCAGCCCCCGCTATTGTAGTTCAGTGCTGGGAGGACTGCAACACGCAGGGGGATCCATGCTGGAGCTGCTCGGGCCGCTCTGTGCCCTGTGGGAAGGACTCACGCTGGAGAAAGTTCATGGAGGCCTGGCTTCCATGAGAGGAGAATCATGCTGGAGCAGGGGAAGAATATGAAGAGTGTCCCTCTCCCCACCACCGGTGGAAGAAGTGGAAGGACTGACGGTAACCCTATTCCCTGCCCCTGTACTGCTGTGGGTGGAGGTGGAGATATCGGGAACAAAACTGAGCCCAGGAAGAAGGGAGGGGTGGTGGGAAGGTGTTTTTAAGATGTGGTAATGCTTCTCACTGTCCCACTCTGTCTGTTAAGTGTTTGAATTATCCCCTAAAACAAGTCTGGTTTTCGCCTGTAATGGGTGAGTCATCCCTCCCTGTCCTTATCTTGATTCTTAAGGCTTCTGCTTCATTTTGTCCTTCCCATTCCTGAGAGGGACGTGGGGACTGAATGGCTGGGTGGTGCTCAGCTGCCCTCTGGGCCCACACCCCGACAGTGCTCAGTGGCTGCAGGCAGAGAAGCCACAGCCAGTATGGCCATGAACCTGCGGGCCCAACTGTAACATCTCATTTATGCCAATACAGGAGTTTCTGCATGCTCTGCTTAGTGGCACAACAGCCCCAATGACCTGGCCCAGGCCCTAGCCCCACAGAAGGCATTTTGGGGGTTGCTCCTGCCCTCCCATCAGTCCTGGCTGCCCCGGTGGGTGGGTCCCAGCTCCACTGTCCCCACCAGGCTTTGATGGCAATGGTGGCCCCGGGATGGCAGCGGTAGGTTGGGGGTTCCTGGTGCCCAGCACAGCTGGCACTTGGCCACTGGCAGGGCCCTGGATGGGCCAGGAGATCCCGACGGTCCCAAAAGCTTCCACTGGGACCCACCCCCTGCCCCATCCTGAGCCAGGATGGGGCACCCAGTCCCTGACTGAGCTGCCGTAGGGTAGGCTGCACAAATACTTCTCATCAAATACAAGGACAGACAGAACGTATTTTGTTCTTTAAACAGCCAGCAATAATCAGTAGGGAATGTCTAATCAGGAGCTACTGCCCTTGAAGAAGAAAAGCATCCTGGAACATGAGGGCTTGTTAAAAATGGTTTACTGTGAATCACTTTAATTAGAGATTGAGGGAACCTTTCTCATTATAATAGTAAAAAAAAAAAAAATCATACCCACTGCTTCGAAAATTCCTCCTGCACAAATAAAGGACCTCACACTTTGAGCTTGCCCATTAAAATTAAAACTCACTTTAACTAGAGCTGAGGCATGTTACTAACTGCTGAGGGATAGAAGTGATAGGCAACTAACCAATAGGAACTATGTAATCATGTAGTTGGAAGTGTATAAATACTTTGAAGTTCTTTTGTATGGTATGCTAGCTTTGTGGAATTACCCTCTAGCACCCCTCTTTGCACAAATATGGAATAAACTGATAGCTCTGTCTGGGAGATTGGCCTTTTGCATACGGGGTAACGACCACTTGTCTGAAGGGCAACAGCAGGGCGCCCAGCCCTGCCCTTGCCCCGTTCCTCTCCCTATCCCTGCTCCTGCCCCTGCCTCTGCCCCTGCCACTGCCTCGACCTCGCTTCTACCTGTCCATCCCCCTCTCCCTGCCAGTGCTTGTGTCCCTGTCCCTGCCTTGCCCTTAACCCTGCTCCTGCCCAGCCCTTTCCATAGCCCTGCCTGACTCTGTTCCTGTCCCTGCCCTTCCCACTGCCCCTGCCACTCCACCATCCCTGCCCTCGGCTCTGCTCTGTTCCTTTATTTAGCCCTTCACTGCCCCTTGCTCTTGCACCTGCCTCTTCCCCATCCCTGTCCCTGCCTCTACCCCTGCTCCAGCCCATTGCTCCTCACCCCCTGCCCTGCACTGGCCTTGTCCCTGCCCCTGCCTCCTCCCCTGCCCTGTCCCTGGTCATGCCAGTACACATGCCTCCTCCCCTGCCCCCTCAGTGCTCACACCCTTACCTCTTTTCAGAACCACTTTTGAGTTCAAATTTGGGACCTGCTCCCCTGGGAGACCTGGATGGAGCCAGCACAGGGGCTGGTGGGTGGCTGGAGCCCTGGGCACAGTCGCAGGGACAAATTCAGCTGCTGGAGACAGAGGATGGAGCTGCTGCCTGCAGCCTCCCGGCTCAGTCCTGCCGCCTCCCGTCAGCATCTCCCTCCTGCACAGCGTGAAGAGGGGCCCTGTATAATGGGTAGCACCCAGGTAGCCCCAGCTATTCAGCCTCTTATTCTACACTGCTGTTGGGCTGAAGAGCTGGCATTTCCTAAAACCAGAGTGGGTTTCAGCATGCCCCAGAGACACTGTTTGCTTTTTGGGGTGCCCCAGGGCCATTTGCTTTCCCTCCCGATTCCTGTTTGCTTTCGAGTCCCCTCACAACCCCTTCATGTGCCTCTTGGTGCCTCCCGGAGACCGCACTCACTCTTCAGCCATGTCCCTTACCCACCTTCACCCCGCTTCCAAACAGACCACACAAGAGTTGTTCAAAACTTGCAGGGTTTATTATGCTCCTTGACATGCCACGCAGCCAGCAGCCCAGAGCCGCCCTGCTGCTGGGTGCCCCCACTGTGGCTGGAGGTGCAGGGCTGCTGCACGGAGCGGCTCAGTACGGGGGGCTGAGCGGGGCTTGGATTAACAACCCCCCCCGAAGCGCTAATAGCAGT